GTTTCATTTCATTTAAGTTTAAAGAGCCCTTTACCGCAGCTAAACGATGCAACATGAACCTGTTTTGAAACACCACATCCGAAATACCAGTGACGCGTGTGTTCTTACGACATAGCAGGTCACCTAAATTTTACTTTGGGCGGTTTTGCCGAACGACTGACAGTTTGCCTCTCCGTCCGACTAACGCTTACAAATCGCAAACAAAGCTAATTTCCTCCTCAAACTACGCCTTCAAAGAAAACAATTTAAAGTTGTTTTGAACTTTTTAATGAGCTTTTCAAGCAGCTTAACTTTATACCGGCATATTCTGCCATTTTGGCAATCGACCGCGGAGCGAGTAATACCGCCGCAATTCACCGGCATAAATCGTTTTGCCAGTGCATCAGGCATGAAGTTAGACCCCTATTATTTGCGAGGAGAGCCTTTTGAATTAATGTTGCCAAAGTAACATCTATAGTCCAAGAAAAAAAACAAAAACAAAAAAACAAAACTAAATCAAAACAGCAACACCCCGAAAACACTGTGCTTATTTGTTGATTTACTAGCTCCCTCATACATTTGCTTTGTAATTTAGTTATGTATCTATTTATGCATTTTTCCTCTTTAAAGTCATTAATGGCAGTTGGACTGATTGGGGTCGATGGAGTCAGTGCAGCCAACTTTGTGACACTGGCATACAACACCGCACGCGAAGTTGCACAGATCCACCTCCCAGTGGTGGTGGTAGTTACTGTTCTGGGCAATCTCAAGAAACCAAATCTTGCAACAAAGACAAATGCCCGGGTGAGTACAAACAACTAATTTGGTTGTTACTTTACAGTCGTTACAGTGTAATCTGTGAAGAGCGAAAAAAAAAAGGTCAGTAGTTTGGGGGTGTTCTTTTATTATTATCATTATTATAATTATATATATTGATAACCTTTTTATTAATAGCAATAAAACTAATATCTATTTACATAATAATCAAATATATTTGAAGAAAAACATTATCTTTATTATTACTATTATCATTATTATTAATTTTTTTTTATTTATTTTTTTTATTTTCCAAGACTGTTTAAATCTTGACTTGAGGTTATTTTAATCAGTACTTCTATAATAGAAAGCCGATTTAGACCCCTTCTTACCCGCGGAATATTTAACTCGATGCAAAGAAACTACGATAACTTTATTTATTTACTTATTTATTTATTTGCCATTTTTGCTACTTTTCCCCAATATATTAACAATTTATCAAACATTCAAAGTACGGCGACCTCTAGAAACCACTAGGCTTATGGTTGAGGCCACCTCGTACGTAGGAATGTCCTTACAAAGGCAGTGCTACTATCCTTGGCCAGGGAGCTATTCCACTTCATGGTTACCAATGATATATGCGCATCTGTGACAACTTTATCAGATATTTAACAATTAGATAATAAATTCCCAATTTCTATCGATATCGAATGACAACTGATGTGGACGATGCCCGAATCAGCTATGACGGATATAAATCGAGACTGAATAACGTAATCGTTTTAATACAAATCTACTAGTGGTAGAGAGATTATAATCTAGTGGTCAAGAGATTATAATCTTTTGTGTAGCGTAGCCAAATCAGATTACAGCAGTTGTCATGGAAACCTGGTAAATTTACTCTAAACTCGTATAAGAAGTCATTTTATGCGCAGACAAACCCTTCTCTAATACGAACAAAACTCCTTAAGCCTTGCTTCATTACCGTTAATGTGGAGTATTAATGATGTTTATGTATGCCCCAAACCCTCTTATTCTCGCAAAAATGATAGTTTCTTTGACAGATGCAGCCATTAAAGACCATTCAGTAACATGTCCTTTAAGGGTCAGTGGTCACATTTTCCCGAAAAGAATTGCTTTAAAAATACTTGTTCAACCATTCTGATCTTACAACTAGGATTGTAGATGGCAAGAGCCCTACAAATGTTTACTAGGTGAAAATGTAAATTATTTTAATATGCACAAAACTAAATTGAGGAATTAAGTTTCTTATTTAAAAGTGAACAAAAAGTTATGGGGATCCGAGACTAGAGATTTGAGAGAGGGATTACAGCGTTTAGTAATCACAGCTGCTATCTTCGTCACGTTTTATAACCTAACGCTTCTTTCATCGCCATTTCCTTCAACGCCTTTAGATCTCTGCTTGAACCCGAAACGATGTGATCACATTTGTACCAACTTGAACGGTGGGGGCTACATCTGCAGCTGCAATCCTTGTTATACCCCATCAGGAAGAAAATGTAATTTGGAGCAGTGTAAAATTAACAACAAATGTTATCCTTTCAAGTACATCAATCCAGGCAATCCCTGTCAGGTGAGAATAATAACTATCTCACTAATCAATACGTTAATGTTTTATAGGTAATATGGATGTTTTTTTTTCAATTCAAGACACTATTGAAAAGTTAACGCCACCTGTTCCTATCTATCAATTTGCCATCCATGGAACGTTGAAAAAAATGGATTTTATAGCCCATGCAGCAAATTCCCGGCTTCGTTCGTATCCCGGACATAATTAGTTAGGAATTTTTTTCTTATGGTACTGCACCTCCCATGATTGCATCTTGGCCGTGTGTTCAAATGAAATGACATTTATGAAAATTATGCTCTGGGTCTGCAATAAACCCGCTGAGAAATAGTCAATTAACACATTGCATTACTGATTTCAAATGACTTTCCTGTAGAAATGTGATAGTTCCAGAAAGACATCATGGTCAAACGATGATGCCTTGTCATGCGATGATGGCAATGCATGCACCAAAAATGATCGCTGCTCTGCTGGAAAATGCATTGGTACACCATTCAACTGCTTGTCGCCTTGTGAAGAGTGTTACAATGATGTCTGCCGAATAAAATCAGGATACTGCGCAATCTTTGAAAAAGGGACGAAAACATGTGTTAGGGATGGAAATACAAGGTCGAGGCGTCCATGTAAGGTAATGCTGAATAAACAATAGCCTCCATCTGGCCCGAAAATATGCACGTATTTTTGTCCGCGGACATCTACTCCGAGAACAGTTTTCCGAGAGCAAAGCTTTTTTCTCTATTCCTTCCACAAAATCCAGGCAAATTTTATTTAAACCTAGGCTCGTTCACGATGTAAGAAGTTCTACTTTCTAAGGTTGCTGATGCTAAGTCCTAACTTTGGATATCTATTAATTAAAGGTATCAAATTTGATATGATCGTGGAGAACTCTTTTCTTCCTTCGGGGAGTCTCACTTAACGTTTTGGATTTCAGAAATGTGACACCAGTAAAAGCGTAAGCACTTGGTCCGACAATGACGGGGCAGCTTGCGATGATGGTAACATATGTACTCGAAGTGACAAGTGTAGCAATGGCGAGTGTAAGGGTACACCTCTCAACTGTAACTTCATATGTCAGACCTGTAATGGGAACAGTTGCGGTCTGAAAACTGGGTATGGATTTTCCAACGGCAAATGCAAATGTAAAATCAACGGTGAGTCCTTTTTTTTTTCTATCATAAGAACGCAAAGTTCAAAAGAAGGAAAGGAAACAGCTTGGCCTTGTGTTCAGAGCACCAGTCTTTCAAAAAATGTAATCTTCTCTTCTCCCGTTGAAAAACTGATCGTGCGCAGAATTTTCTATTTTACCAGGCTTTCTAAGGTCATGAAAACGGTGTCCAGACGCAATGCGGATAGTGTGGAAAGTCGCACACGCTAAATCCAAAAGTTTTCTTAGTCGTAGAATATAAAGCATAAACATTCGAAACAATCCTTTACTTTTCATTCTTTCAGTACATCCAACATACTCCTACGTGCATAATGGTGAATCGTTGCTTCATTTCTAATTTTTTTTATATATTTTTTTTTCATCCACAATCTTCTTTGGATTACTTGCTTTGCTTAGCCAAGCAACATCAATTTCCCAAACGAAGTCAATGCAATGAAATGTTATATCCAGACAACTAAGATGCTTTCCACAACAACTATAATTTATTCATACCTATCCATTCTATTCCTGAGATATTGATAATGTTTAAGGCGATTACGCCTGTGACGACGGCGTTGTTGACGTAATAGCTCATGATCGTAATAGCTATGAAACGCTAAGTAAGTCCTTTATGAATAATAACAAAGATTTTGATAGTAATAAATCTTATTTTAAATTTCAGGCCGCAACTATGACCATCACATCCTTAATCCATCAAACCCGTGCCAGAGGTGTAATCTGTTAGATGTGACAGCCCGTGCTAGCAGCACATGGTCTAATCGAAACGGCGCTTATTGTGACGACAAAGACAAGTGTACCAAAAGGGACGTCTGTAACGCAGGAAGGTAACTATTTTAAAAAATAATCGTTTGGAGGGACCACGGCGAAGGTGCAAGACACCACACCCATCCATCGTCGCTATTCTAACCAGTTAAGGGAAGTCTGTTGACAAACTTGCTATTTACTCTCAAGTCGAGATTCCTGGCGGGAACGAAATTAGACCTCTGCTCTTCTTTGCCTACTTGTAAAAAAAAAGGATGGATAGATAGATAGATAGATAGATAGATAGATAGATAGATAGGTAGGTAGGTAGATAGATAGATAGATAGATAGACTGAACAAGGTGCAACGTAGAGCAGCTTGCTATGCAATTTGTGGAAATATAGTATGAGAGCTATTTCGCAAACGATAGGTATTCTCTACCAAGCATTGCGTAAAAAAATTATACCCATCGAGACTGAATTTTCCCCATGCTCATGTGTTGCGCTGAGAGAGGAAGCAACCACTGTTTTGTCCCTTATTGAAAACTTCACGAGATATTCTTCGAAAAAAAATGCTTACAAAATTATTTTAAAACTCTTCACATCAGTAAAGGTTGAGCAGACTTTTGGTATTCTGTTTAAGTCCCTTAGTTGCCATTGCCTCCTTAATACACGTGTTGCAGGAATTTGTAGGTGTTGATATTGCCTTGTTCACCAGCCGCGTTTTATTTCTAGTTCCCATCATGGCATGGTTCTCATTTCACAGATATCACTTATTGCTTAGGCTCTGATGTGTCAAATCATCTCTGTCTCTCTCTTTCATCTAGATAGTTCCGTCTGGATTTACCTTTTCTCTTCATTTCGTTAGTTGCAAAGGACAGAGTTACAGCTGCCAATCGTCTTACCCATCCTCAAGCTGCATAAGAACATCTGAATGTGTTGGAGATGGTAGTTGTAGAGATATCATGAGGACAAAAGGGACAGTATGTCGATCTGCTAATGACATGTGTGATCAAACAGAAAAGTGAGTACTTTAGTCTCATCAATTCATCAAAAATGTGGACAACGAATTCTCCCTTGACCTCCAAGCAGTTTGAGACTGCCGATTGCATGAAAACAAAAAAGTTTGTGTACGTGCAATATAGAAGGCACACGTAACATTCGTGTCACACAAGATTAGTTGGAGTATTAACAAATCTTCAACACTTTCTGGAGACAACGGTGAATTAGAGTAATTTTCTTGAACAATAATCGAAATATACGCTCTGCTCCGTTGACGGTTGAAAGTTAAAACATCTAGATAGCACACTGCAGCAGAGTTTGGTCTGATAAAGTGAGTTTAAGTTTCGATCTGCCCGTAGAGAAGAAACGAAATAAAAAGAAATAGCCTTTTTAAGCGCACAATTCTCTATGCACTAATTTAAGCACCTACAGCATTAATATCTTATTACACTTAAAAATCTTTACCTCCATAGGTGTGACGGCAGGCTTGGGATTTGTCCTGCGTTTGTAGTTGATTCAGTTACCGTTACCACGGGCACTGTGAAAATCGTTGACCAGAATTTCCACAACACAATTTTCTACCAGCATGTCACCGATAAACTTTTCATTAATATCTCTGGTTTCAATGTATCGTGTGGAAAAATGAATCTGAGATGGTTTCTTCTGCCAGGAGCGTCCAGTTGCTCCGGTTCTTCACTCGCAAACGGTATCATACAAAGCACCAACAACCTGCAAACTTTATCTGGGTTGACCTTGCAAGATGGTAAAAGCTACAAAATTTCCATTGCTGCATCTGACTTGAGGGACAAAATACAACATCGTGAATGCAGTTCGGCTGTAATCGTCGACACTTCAAAACCCACACATGGATGGGTTCACGATGGGGAAGCGGATGACTTGGATTATCAATCTTCTAAGCTTTTCCAAGTTAACTGGGGAGGATTTCAAACCAGAAATGGTATTGACAACTACGATTGGAAGGTTCTTCTTACCTCATATGGGAGTTCTC